TATTCGTTTCTGGCTCTACGACTGCTCTCCTTATTCTCCTGGGTCCTTTGCCTTCTATATTTCTTCCATTCCCTAGCACACTTGGTTTTTGCCTCCCTGCACCTTTGGGTAAACCATGGGCTCATCCTGGCTTTTTCATTATTCCTGTTACCCTTGGGTACAAACCTCTCCTCAGCCTCCTTGCATTTTGTTGCTACATATTCCATCATCTCATTAACTGGCTTCCCTGCCAGTTCTCTGTCCCACTGAACCCCGTTCAGGAAGTTCCTCATTCCTGTGTAGTCCCCTTTCTTGTAGTTTGGCTTCATTCGTCCTGGCCTTCCTGCTTCTCCCTCCACTTGTAGCTTTACTGTGTATTCGAAGCTTAAAACCACATGGTCACTGGCTCCAAGGGGTCTTTCATATGTGATGTCCTCGATATCTGCAGTACTCAAGGTGAATACTAAGTCCAGCCTTGCTGGTTCATCCTCTCCTCTCTCTCTTGTAGTGTCCCTTACGTGTTGGCACATGAAGCTTTCCAGTACCACCTCCATCATCTTAGCCCTCCATGTATCTTGGCCCCCATGTAGGTCCAAGTTCTCCCAATCGATCTCCTTGTGGTTAAAGTCACCCATGATCAGGAGCTTTGCCCTGCATGCATGAGCTCTTCTGGCCACTCTAGCCAGTGTGTCAACCATCGCTCTATTGCTCTCGTCGTACTCTTGCCTTGGCCTCCTGCTGTTCTGTGGTGGGTTATACATCACTGCTATTACCACCTTGGGACCTCCAGAGTGAAGCGTTCCCGCTATGTAATCACTTTCTTCTCCGCTGTCTCCTCTCTCCAGCTCATCAAAATTCCAGCGATTTTTGATCAGCAATGCCACTCCTCCACCCCCCCTGTTCCCTCTGTCTTTCCTCAGGATTTGGTATCCCGTTGGAAAGATGGCATCTGTTATCATACCTGTAAGCTTGGTTTCTGTGAGAGCTATGATGTCCGGTGATGCTTCTTTGACTCTTTCATGCCACTCCTCGCACTTATTTGTTATTCCATGTGCGTGTGTGTGTGTGCGTGTGTGCCTATGTGTGTCTATGTGTGTGTCTGTGTGCGTGTGTGTGTGTGTGTGTGTGTGTGTGTGTGTGTGTGTGTGTGTGTGTGTGTGTGTGTGTGTGTGTGTGTGTGTGTGTGTGTGCGTGTTTGTGTGCGCGCGTGTGTGCGCGTGTGTGCGCGTGTGTGCGCGTGTGTGCGCGTGTGTGCGCGTGTGCGCGCGTGTGCGCGCGTGTGCGCGCGTGTGCGTGCGCGTGTGCGCGCGTGTGTGCGCGTGTGCGCGCGGTGTGTGCGCGTGTGTGCGCGTGTGCGCGCGTGTGCGCGCGTGTGTGCGTGTGTGCGTGCGTGTGTGCGTGTGTGTGCGTGTGTGTGCGCGTGTGTGCGCGTGTGTGTGCGTGTGTGCGTGTGTGTGGTGTGTGTGGGTGTGTGGTGTGTGGTGTGTGGTGTGGTGTGTGTGTGTGTGTGGTGTGTGTGTGTGTGTGTGTGTGTGTGTGTGTGTGTGTCGCCGAATAAGCAGAATCGGTCAGTTTGACTTAAAAAGCACAGTGAAAATTACAATTATAAAAACTCTTGTGAAAATCAGTCTGAACATAACGAAAAAAAATTATACATCACTGAAGGTAAGGAATTCTTCACAAATTTAAACTGACCTATGATAAATTTAGAAGCTGTTTTTTCTTTTTATTTTAGCAAAGTTAGCTAAGTGATATATTTGAGTTAGGTTACATGCAAAATTGAAATCATTCGTGAAATAGTCATTTAAAAATATAACTTAAGGGCTTCAGAAAATTGACGAAACTTATTTTTAGGTAGTTCTGCCCAACTGACGTATTTTACTTGTTAGGCACGACATATACACCAAGATGTGTATATCACTGTGTATATGCACAGATATACCTCAAAGTATATATGGTGAAATTTATTTATAACTGAGAAAATTCATATATTCTTCAATGATTGCATGCAGGTCAAATGTAACATTCATAACCCATATTAACTAATATTACGGACAGGTATATATGAAACAATTATATTCGTCACAAGCCTCACACGTCACAAGCCTCACACGTCACAAGCCTCTCACGTCACAAGCCTCACACGTCACAAGCCTCTCGTCACAAGCCTCACACGAGCAGTGAGTACTCACACAAACTGACATTTCTTCACGCTGATGTGAGCTTAAGATAGTGTACACACAAGAAATCAGTTGTTACCTTCGTGAAGGTGCAAGATCTCAAATTTTCAGTAATGGACTTCAAGGACGTTTGAATTACTCTTTTTTTCATCATCACGAGTGTGGCCGGATATTGAGTAAAATTTGATCTGTGGTAACGGTGGAGCCTATCACGACAGAGGGGATTAAGTAACACTCCACTTTGCAATACGTGGTGATGTAGGTGGGTAGGAAGGCTAGGTAGCCACCTGCTGGATCTGGTGATGTAGGTGGGTAGGAGGGCGAGGCAGCCACCTGCTAGATCTGGTGATGTAGGTGGGTAGGAGGGCGAGGCAACCACCTGCTGGATCTGATGTAGGTGGGTAGGAGGGCGAGGCAGCCACCTGCTAGATCTGGTGATGTAGGTGGGTAGGAGGGCGAGGCAGCCACCTGCTAGATCTGGTGATGTAGGTGGGTAGGAGGGCGAGGCAACCACCTGCTGGATCTGGTGATGTAGGTGGGTAGGAGGGCGAGGCAACCACCTGCTGGATCTGGTGATGTAGGTGGGTAGGAGGGCGAGGCAACCACCTGCTGGATCTGGTGATGTAGGTGGGTAGGAGGGCGAGGCAACCACCTGCTGGATCTGGTGATGTAGGTGGGTAGGAGGGCGAGGCAGCCACCTACTGAACCTGGTGATGTAGGTGGGTAGGAGGGCGAGGCAACCACCTGCTAGATCTGGTGATGTAGGTGGGTAGGAGGGCGAGGCAACCACCTGCTGGATCTGGTGATGTAGGTGGGAAGGAGGGCGAGGCAACCACCTGCTGGATCTGGTGATGTAGGTGGGTAGGAGGGCGAGGCAACCACCTGCTGGATCTGGTGATGTAGGTGGGTAGGAGGGCGAGGCAACCACTTGCTGGATCTGGTGATGTAGGTGGGTAGGAGGGCGAGACAACCACCTGCTGGATCTGGTGATGTAGGTGGGTAGGAGGGCGAGACAACCACCTGCTGGATCTGGTGATGTAGGTGGGTAGGAGGGCGAGGCAACCACCTGCTGGATCTGGTGATGTAGGTGGGTAGGAGGGCGAGGCAACCACCTGCTGGATCCCGAGTTTCAACAGCATAACACCTCTGGATGCCACACTGACTTTCTAAACTTTTAGCTTGGTGTTTCAACTTGCAGATATTCCTGCACTATATACCACAGACAGTATTCGGTATCCCTTGTGTATTAACATTGTATACCCAGACAATATTCGGTATGCATCTTGTATTAATAAAAAAAATAAATAAATTCAGTATTCTCCTTGTAACTTGACCCGAGTTATAGGACGGTATCCCATCCTAAAACTCACCTGGATGTGAATTTTTCACCACCCTGAGCATCATTAACAACTCGACCTTCAGCTGTCAGGACCAAATCTAAAATCTGTTTACTTTCATGTGCTTACTTACGAATGAGGAAACGGAATTTTTTTGTCACTGCTGGCGATACAGACTTCTAGCCTCGTCTTTCCTGACGAGTCTCCTACAAGTATGGTGACACTCAGCATTTTTATGTATTCAATTTTTTTCACTATAGCCAGGCTAGAACCAGATGAGCCTGAACCTTGGCTGGGCTCCAGGAGTAGAAAGACTCGAAACTCATCAAAGGTATATGTTGCAATTTTAAGGCGGCTCATAGCTAAAATTAGTGGAGATGCTGCTTCAGAATTTTTTTAGCTGGAAGCATGATAATCATCTAATTCTACACTTTATCACATTCAAGAATATGGTACATGGTTTTTAAGCACAAGTCTCTGAGTCAAAAAGAAACACTACCTAACACTTGCACAACAGGGTCGGCACTGCGTCAGCGACAGTGCTCTCTCTACGTAGCATGCAGTGTCTTATCTCAGACATGTGCACATGCGCACAATAGCCAAACACTAAGTCGCTGGAACTGTGAAGCGCACAGTTCCATACGAGGATTTTTTGTAATGTTTTTCATGTACCAGGAGATGGGTACTGACATTAAGCTTAAGGATTATATAATGTACAAGTATAAAGAAAGAATTAAAAAACTCATTATATTGAATATTATCGATAATATCGAGTGAAAATAGGGGGTGCTGCAGTTCTGCAGTGCCTATACACGAGCCACAACTGAATTAGTCTTGTAAATATTCTGTAGCACACAATAACGTTTACACCTGCAGAGTTGTATCTGTAATAAAACACACACCCCCAATGTAGCATAAACCCACACATGCACTGCTGCTGCTGTAACATTCCCACACCTGTAGTGTTGCAGCTGTAACTTATCAACACGAACATATTCAAGCTTGCAGTGTTGCAGTTGTAACATTTACACCTGCAGTGTTGCAGCTGTAACATATTTACACCTGCAGTGTTGCAACTGTAGCATAGAACACACACAGCAGCAGCAGCAGTGCCTCCTTGTCTTAGTACAGACTGGGCAGCTTTATATTTTTTGTGACCTGCTCATTTATAAAATATTATCACGGAAAGGAATATGTTATTAATTAGAGATAGATAGATAGATAGATAGATAGATAGATAGATAGATAGATAGAGAGAGAGAGAGAGAGAGAGAGAGGAGAGAGAGAGAGAGAGAGAGAGAGATCGTTATCTCATATGAAATTTCTTAAGATGTACTTCAAATTTTCGTGGAGTGTGGGGTATTTAACCGGGGGGGGGGGGCAAGAAGTTACGAACCCTTCAATCTTCCGACTCTGACCATGGGTTTAATCCCCCGCAGTCCATGACAAAAAAAAATAATATTTATTCCAGATATTTCTTAACATTTATCTCATTGTTCCTCAGCGGATGCCAGATCGGTGAGCACTGGAACCCTGAACGCCTTCGTGAGAGCTCTCCAGTTGTCCGAGGCTCCCACAGAAACCCCGCTCACCACTAAACCCCCGACCAGGTTCAGGTTCCAGACCCCACGACCTCCCAGCAGCAGCAAGTCTTCTTCACGCATCACGTACATTCCACAGGTACGTGCATCAAGTACATTCAATAGGTACGTGCATCAAGTACATTCCATAGGTACGTGTAGCATCATGTACATTCCAGCCACACTGCTCACTCAACCTCTCACTCTCACCCACACCTCTCACTCTCAGTCACACCTCTCACAACCTGAAAAGAATGAATATAGGCCAAACCAAAAAAAAAAAAGCAAGCAAAAAGAATAATCTAAATAAAATCTATTGACTTTATAACTCAGGACAACGCAGTAGTCAGATATAAATTCCTTAGACTAATTTAGCAAAAAATCCTAAACAAACAGTTATTAAATTTACCTATTACATATCTGATTCTGACATATATGCTTATCTTTGCAATGTCGATGGGTGGAATATTCCTGATAGATAATTCCCAGTAATGTTTCCTCTGGTATATTCTACACAGGTTCACTTCTGGTTTACACTGGAGGTTTCGGGGGTCAACGCCCCCGCGGCCCAGTCTGAGACCAGGCCTCTTGGTGGATCATGGTTTGATCAACCAGGCTGTTACTGCTGGCCGCAAGCAAACTGACATACGAACCATGGTGTGGCTGGTCAGGTACTGACTTTAGGTGCCTGTCCAGTGCCTTCTTGAAGACAGCCAGGGATCTATTGGTAATCCCTCTTGTGTATGCTGGGAGGCAGTTGAACAGTCTTGGGCCCCAGACACTTATTTTGTTGTCTCTCAGTGTAATTTTGGCACCCTTGCTTTTCATTGGAGGAATGTTGCATCTCCTGCCGAGTCTTTTGCTTTCATAAGGAGTGATTTTCGTGTGCAAGTTTGGTATTAATCCCTCTAGGATTTTCCAAGTGTATATTACCATGTGTGTCTCTCTCGCCTGCATTCCAGGCAATACAAATCAAGGGACTTCAACCATTCCCAGTAATTTAGGTACCTTATCATAATTATATGCAATGTTCAAATTCTTTGTACACTTTCCAGGTCAGCAATTTTGCCTGCCTTGAAGGGGGGGGGGCAGTTAGTATACAGCAGTATTCCATGATGATATTTAGACATGTGTAATATCTGAGTATCTTTATTGTAGACGTTTCGCCATCCAGTTGCTTTATCAATACAAATTCTAGGACTTAATTTGAAGACAGTAAAACTATATACAGAAGATGAGGTAATCAGTCCCTCAGCCTTGGAGTTAGTGTGGAGAGCACCGTGGTCGTGGAGATTCTGAAGCATAGGCAAGTTGGTCGGCGCTTATATACTAACGCCAGGTGAAAAGGGACATGTAGCAGACGAGGGCATAGTCACTGGTAGGCAGGCTTTCCCAGTGGAAGTAGGTCAGACCCAAAGAGATGGGTTAGTTGTATTATTATTATAATCAAAAAGAAGCGCTAAGCCACAAGGGCTATACAGCGCTGCAGGGTAGGGAAGGAAGCGAGGGTATTGGATGGTAGAAGGGAGGAGGGATGATCAGTAGGTTACAGAAAACAGCGGGGCAGGGGATAGTACGGGGGTAGGGGGTAGCAAGAGATTGAAGTAGAAAGGGCTGAAGGTATCAGAATTTGTGAAGTAAGTCAGTTGTTGTCAAAAAGTCAATGAGAGAGTCTGGATGAAAGGTGGGTCCATCAGCGAGAAGGGAAGGTAAAGAGAGCAGCAGAGCGAAGACGACGACGGAGGTAAATTCTGCATGCTCGTTGATAAAGTGGGCAGTCCAACAGAATGTGGCTGACTGATAATGGAACTTGGCAATTCTCACAGAGAGGAGCAGGGCGCCTCTCCATGAGATATCCATGAGTAAGACGAGTATGGCCAATGCGAAGACGGGAGAGAGTAGTCTCCCAACCTCGACACTGGTGATAAGAAGACGGTCAGTAACCTATACTCGGTTTAATAGATTGAAGTTTGTTGCCGAGCATAGTAGACCAACGTTGGTGCCAACGGGTGTGAAGTTGGGAAGATATTGCAGCAAAATAGTCCGTAAATGGAATACCTCTACATGAAACTGGTAGGTCATGTACTGCTGACCGCGCAGCAGTGTCTGCCTGTTCATTGCCCTGTACGTCAACATGACCAGGGACCCAACAAAAAACAATATCTTTATGCTTGGTAAAGATGCGGCATAGCCAAAGTTGGATACGGAGGACTAAGGGGTGAGGTGTATCAAATTTCTGTATAGCCTGTAAAGCACTAAGGGAGTCTGAGACAACCACAAATGATGACACAGGCATAGATGCAATACGGATAAGTGCTGTAAGGATGGAATACAATTCAGCAGTAAAAATACTAGCCGAAGATAGTAAATGCCTTTGTACGACGCTAGATAAGATAAGATTTCGTTCGGATTTTTAACCCCGGAGGGTCAGCCACCCAGGATAACCCAAGAAAGTCAGTGCGTCATCGAGGACTGTCTAACTTATTTCCATTGGGGTCCTTAATCTTGTCCCCCAGGATGCGACCCAGGATGTCCGGAAACACTGCTGCGAATCCTACGCCGTCAGAAGACTTAGAGCCATCTGTGTACACAGCAATGGCATGAGAATGAGAGTGAAAGTGGTCAAGAAAATGAGAGCGGAAAGCGACCGTAGACAGTTGGGCTTTCGAGCAAGGGAGAGAGAAAGAACAGACTCGAACAGCTGGAACTTCCCAGGGGGGGTAGGGAAAAGTGAGATGCTACATGTACATAGAAAGGTGGTAATTGAAGAGAAGACAAGAGCGAATGAAGGCGAAGAGAGAAGGGACGGAGTAAACAGGGGCGGCGAACAAATAAAGAATGTCTACTAATATCAGTGACCATTCTATAAATGGAAGGATTGCGGAGATCATGAGAGCGTACATAGTAGCGAAGGCAATGGGCATCACGGCGATCGGATAAGGATGGAACGTTCGCTTCTGCATAGAGGCTCTCGACAGGGGAAGAGCGAAAAGCACCAAGGGTAAACGTAATCCTTGGTGATGAATGGGGTTAAGGCTAGAGAGAGTAGCAGGAGATGCCGCTGAATAGATCTGGTCACCATAATCAAGTTTCGATAAGATAAGGGTGGAATGTAGGCGAAGGAGGGTTCGACGATCAGCTCCCCATGAAAGATGAGCAATGGTTTTAAGGAGGTTCAGCCGGCTGTGGCAAGTTGCCTTCAGAGAGGTAATGTGAGGTTTCCAGGATAACCTACGATCAAAGAGGAGGCCCAGAAACTTGACTGTATCACGTTCAGGGATACGGGAGCCATAGAGGTACAAAGGATGATCGGAGATGACAGAGCGTCTAGTGAAAGTAATTTGGTGGGTTTTAGTGCTGGAAAATTTAAACCCAAGTGTGGTGGCCCAATTGGAAACACGGTCGACTGCATGCTGGAGAGAAACTGTAATAAGGTGACACGGCGAGCGATCGCACGCTTCTGCTTAAATTCAAGAAGTCTCTCTGTAGTTCTATTGTACCGGTACCTGCCCCATGCAGCGCGTTTCAAACGTACTGCACGAGCACAAGCAGGAGACCACCAAGGCACGCATTTCTGAGAATGCCTGCCCGAAGTTTGGGGTATAGAATGAGAAGCTGCTGTTAAAACGGAGGACGAGAAGAGGTGTAAAAGCTCATCGATGGAGGACGAAGAAGGAACCTCTCTAAAAACAGTTAGGTGTGAGTAAAGGTTCCAATTTGCCTGATCAAATTGCCAGCGTGGGATGCGAAGAGGTGGTGAATATGAAGGGGAAGTAAGAATGATTGGGAAATGATCGCTGTCATGTAAGTCCGGAAGAACAGACCAAGTGAAGTCTAATGCGGCGGAGGAAGAGCAGACTGAGAGATCGATGCAAGAGAGAGTGTGAGTCCGAGGATCAAAATGGGTGTGAGTACCTGTATTTAAAACATGGAGGGGGTAGGTGGCAAGAAAAGCCTCTAACTGAATGCCACGGGAATCACAGTGAGACCCCCCCCAGAGGAAATGGTGGGCATTAAAATCACCAAGTAACAGAATCGGTGGTGGTAATGACGAAACAAGAAAGGCAATATCCGGAATAGATAATGCCCGAGAAGGAGAGAGATATACCACCTATGCAAGTGGATACGGGCTGCTGTGTAATGCAGCGAAGTACGAACAAATAGCTGATGGTACGGAATATCAGTGCGTAGAAGAAGGGCACTTTCATTAAAGGTCCCATCAGGAAAAGGATCTGAAGAATACAATAAATTATAGCCTGAGATGGGAGAGATAACAGCAGAGTGTAATTTTGGTTCCTGTAAGCAAACACCAACAGGGGAAAACTGGGAGAGTAACATCTGAAGCTCACCCCGATTACCCCTGAGGCCGCGTATATTCCACTGTAAATAGGCCATGATTGGCAATGATAAAGATACCTGAAATCCGCAGGTAAGGGTTCCTACGGACTAGAGGGGTTAGAAAAGTCCACATGCGGAGGCAGTGGAAAACGTTCAAGCAGCGAAGGAATGGTGCGCTGTGAAGAAAGGAGTTGTGCAGATGGAGTAGAGGAGAGAGAAGGAGCGAAGGGTGGATCAGTGTCCATTGATGGTTTGGTCTCTGCAATATATTGAGATTGCTTCAAGTGTTTCAGAATTCAGAGACGTCGTATGGGAGACAATATTGGAAATGGTAGGGGGAGGATGAGTAAAGATTGGAACTGTAATGGACTGTACCAAGGTAGGGGGGGACGGAAGGGTGGAGGGAACTGGAGAAGCGTGGAAGGGGACAGAAGAGGCAGAAACCTGGGAGGTGGCTGAAGAGGAAGAAACTTGGGAGGGAACAGGGGAGGAAGGTACAGTACGAGGAGGAGGGTGAACCTCTACACTTGTAACAGAGCCAGTGAGAGGGGAAGAACCAGGTACAGAGACAGGGAAGGGAAAATGAGGAGGTGGAAGATGGGTAGGAGGTGTTAACGGACCTTTTTTTTGACTTTTGAGAAGTAGAGGGACGATTGGGAGGAGGTGTCATACGAGATCTCGTCGCTACTGAGGCTTGTGAGAGAGAACACGAAGAAGCAAGATCAGACTGAGACGTTGAAGTAGGGACGTCTGAGCAGAGGA